TTTGGATTTCAGAGTAACAAGGTTTTTTGGTTTCCGCCTGTCTTCCATCGTAGACAGGTTTCATGACTGTATGTCTACACTGGGTACTTGATTTGCTCCTCAGGCTGTTCAAGGAAATGGCTCAGGAACTTGAGTTTCCGAAGTTAATTTAAAAAAAAGTTAATTCATAGAACATCTGCTGTAATTTGAACCATGTAAACCCCTCCCATTATAAGGGTGATTTGAGGGAGAGGACAAAGGGTTACCTCTGGGAAGATGCTGATTGACTAGACCCCAGACAGGGTCCCATAGGGTGGTATTACTTCGATAAAATCATTAGGATAATTTCTAGTTCATTGTTTTGTAATTTCATCAACTGCAGAGCTTGGCCTTTGAGAATGTCAAAGTTTTGCTGTATAAACTTACAAGAGATTCTGTACAAGCCAACATGCCAGTTAGTAACCAGAAAAAGAACATCTGTGCCGGTTTGATGTCGCACATTCGTTTGTCCTGAAGATTCACCCAATTAAGAAAACTACTTGGAAAACTTAAATAAATCTCGTCAGGGCTAAATCAGTTTGTTAATATTATGACTCTTACGGTTTAAAAGTATTCTAGATACGACTTTTTTTTTTAAGGTGTTTTACACCCTTATTGCTTTGGGGCTGGGGTGCAGGTGCTCAGGGGCCCTTGCAGGGGGCGGCCTGCTTCCTCCTCAGCATCCCCGGGTCTAGGTTGAACAGGATGGCGCAGGGATTCTGCGATCGGCAGGCATGCACAGATCTGGGCAGTCCCTGTTCTTGAAGATCACGTGTCTGATGCTGCTGAGGGGGGCCCGGGCATTCTTGTTGATGGTGGTCTGCCCGTAGGAAGTGGCGGGTTTCCACTGGCTGGACCTCCACTTCATGACCACCGCTACAGCCGTGCCATGGGGTTCGGGGTCTAAGCCTTGCAGTCTTGCGGTAAATCAGCAGGTTGTAGCAAAAATAACCTTCAGGTTATTGGGCTCGGTGTTGTGTGTCTGCTTGTTTCTCTTGATCAGGAAGCTGGAGCAGTTCCGCACGACCACCCACTGCAGGTGGGTGGAGACGGCAGCAGCAACTCAGAGTACTGTGGTGGAGATGGAAGGATTGAGTGTGTGTGTGCATATATGTGTGTGCACATGTATGTATCTATGTATACGTACATACATGCACATGTATATAAAAGCATATATATGTGGTTTTAAACCTTGTATGTTTTTTGTATATGAATGATCTATAAATATCCATTTAGGCCCATTAATCAGACATTCAAGAGGACAGCTTGGGTAACTTCCAGCCTGGATGTTACTGAACATTGATAGATTTTGGCCCTTAGGCATTTCTTTTTTTCTTTGTTTTTTAGAGTCTTTCTCTTCATTTGTCAGAGTCTTTCTCTGTATATATTTTGATATCATCATTTCTTAGTTTTCTGGGGAATCTGTCATCATTGTTTCCATGTTCTGTCTATACTAAAACCATTCTCAACTTATAAATATACCAACATTATAAATTTCTCTGCATAGGAGATAGTATGCTAGAAAAATCAACAGCATTCTTTCAGGAGATCAAGGAAGGCTTTCTAAAGGAGGGGAAGAGAATGATGAGGTGAAGGTCAAGGGAACCTCTTGGGAGAAGAATGGGGTAAGGCAGTTGACTCAGTGAATCAAGCAGCTTGGGCACTGTGGAGGATAAAAATAAAGTGTCAGTAATGCAGCCTGCCTCATACAAGTTTGAAATCTGTTTCAGAGACAAGAAGACATACACGAAATGCTTGGGGGAACAACTATAAGGCAGCAAATCACTGACTGCCAAATAAAAGACTCTTGTTTGTAGAGAGCTTTATACTGCACACAATTTATTTATAAATTCTATGTACAGATATACGCATACACACATACATACACATATTAAAAGGAATCGTGTGTAGTACAAAGCTCTCTGCAGGTAGACTGCAATAATGCTTTCAAATAGGAAGAAATTAGTAACAACCCCCCAAATCACAGAACAAGTAAATAGAACAAGCAAGAAGAGAGTTTAGGAATTTTAACTTTACAACCCAAATTACTTCAACTTCATTCAACAGTTTCTCTGTAATAGACACGATATGTTTCCTTAAAAGAAAACATGGTGGGTAAGATTCCTGTCATACTCTGGTGAAGGGGTTTGATTCATTAGGAGACATTTAATTTTACAAGAAATCACTGAACGGGTCAAAGAGGAGATGGGCTGGAGAATAACAGCAGAGCAACTTGGCCAAGTGTACTGAAGCGATCTGGAAGGGGCCACAGAGTCTGCAGAGAAGATGAGAGGTGAGGGTGCCTTAACGAAAGCAGCTTTGGTCAACGTAACAGAAGGGAAGGGATTGATACTAAAGATACTCGGGAGCCCCCGGGGGCAGTGGGGAACTAAATAAAATGTATCTGAAAATGATCTCAAAAGTTTTTGCTTAGGTTTTTGCCCACCAATATGAGTAAACACTGGAGGTTCAAAAATAAGGTGATGGACATTATGGGGCGCCTGAGTGACTCAGTCAGTTAAACCTCTGATTCCTGATTTTGGCTCAGGTGTGATTTCACAGTGGTGAGATAGAGCCCTGCGTGGGCTCTGTCTTGGGTGTGGAGCCTGCTTGAGATTCTGTCTCTCTCCCTCTTCCTCGGCCCCTCCTTCCAAAAAATAAATAAAAATAAAAGGTAAACAAGCCAAACTGATGTGCTTAGAGTACTGAGTCATTCATCCTTTTCCCCTTTATTGTACTTTGTCTTATTTTTCTTCTCTTCCTCTTTCTTTCTTACTATCTACTTGAGATGTTTAGAACTATATGACAGGCATTTCCTCAGCAAGAGATAGATCCTGGAATAAAAGTTTAAAAACACCAAAGATGAAATATCACAATCAAAAAATGCAGCGATTCCCTAACCTAGAGTCATTTGCATACCACCTCTGTGTTTTTGCCATGTGTACTGTTTGTTAGTTACTTAGCATTTTGGTTCAAATTGATTCATTTATTTTACTCATATATATATTTTTAGAAGGGAAGATTTTTTTTTTTTTTAATTTTAGAAAGAGAAAGAGAGAGAGGGTTAGGGAGGGGCAGAAGGAGAGGGAGAGAGAGAATCATGGAGCCTGACATGGAATTCGACTTCACAACCCTGAGATCATGACCTGAGCCAAAATGAAGAGTACAGACATTTAATTCTTTTTTTTTTTTTTTAAGATTTTATTTATTTGACTGAGACACAGTGAGAGAGGGAACACAAGCAGGGGGAGAGGGAGAGGGAGAAGCAGGCTTCCTGTTGAGCACGGAGCCTGATGCGGGGCTCAATCCCAGCACCCTGGGATCATGACCTGAGTCAAAGGCAGATGCTTAACGACTGAGCCATCCAGGCGCCCCTATATTTTCTAATTTCTAATGGTTACAGAATAGTCTCTTTTAAGGATACCTATATTGTCAGTTCTCCACTGGTAAACACTGCGTCCTTCCCATCGTTTTGCCCTCTAACCATACACACTGCAGTAACCACCGCGTGTTCCCTGCTGGAAGGGTGGACCGTGGAGTCAGACAGCAGAGATTAGGGTATAGCATCTCCACTGATTCACTGTGTGGGCTTAAGCAATTCACTTAACCTCTAAACCTCAGTTTCTTCATTGGTAGAAGGGGAATAAATAACAGACCTGCTTCACAGGTGTTTCTGACGATTAAATACGAATGTGTGTAGACCTTTAACATATGGGTTTATATTGTGGCAAGCACTCAATAGATTTTGGTTTTACTGATATTTGCTCATTTTAAAAATTTCTTCCTTACATTCTTAGTGGTGATGTTGCTGGGTTAGTAGAGATTATACACATATTTGAAGGCTTTTGACACATGTTGCCAAATTGTCTTTTCCAAATACTAATTTATGCTCCACCAGCAATATATGCCAGTGTTTGTTTCTGGAACCTTCACCCTTCGGGCTTGTTATTAAAAAAAAAATCATTGCTAGCATCTTGTTATTGTTTTAAATTAGCATTTCTTTGATTACTAGTGAGGTTGAATATTTTGGGGGCATTTATATTCTTTTGTGAATTGTCTTTTTAGGTCCTATGCCCTATTTTTTTTCTATTTGGCTTGCAAATTTGTCTAACTTTCTCTAAGAGTCCTTTACACAAAGATATTAATCTAACATGCCTGGCATTTTATTAAGAATATACTTCTGCGGTGCCTGGGTGGCTTAGTTGTTTAAGGTTTAACCTAATCCCAGACAATGGGGGGTGCCTGGGTGGCTCAGTGGGTTAGCGGTCTGCCTTGGGCTCAGGTCATGATCCCAGGCTACTGGGATCCAGTCCTGCATTGGGCTCCTTGCTCAGCAGGAAACATGCTTCTCCCCCTGCTTGTGCTCTCTCTCTCTCTTCTTGCCAAATAAGTAAATAAAATATTTTAAAAAATAAATAAAAAAATAAAAATGTACTTCCAGTTTGTCATTTGCATTTGAATTTCATGTAGATAACATGGCATGTTTCACCATTATAGGCTCTGGAAATACCAAACTCCTGGGGTTTCTTGGTGGGAATGAGATGAAGGTTGAGCAAATTAGGCCTCAGTTCTCTCATCTGTGAAATGAAAAGTTTGAACTAGAAAATTGCCGTTTATTTCCAGATTTGCAATTTTGTGATTTTATATAAAAAAAAAATTTGTCGGTTCAATATATAGGGTTATTTTAACTTCATATTTTATATTGATATGTAATTGTAATAACTGTAAACATAATTATTTCCTAAGCCGCTTTTATATGTCTTGAGACCCTTAAACAGAGGCTCTAAGTATACACATGCACACACACATATATATTTATAAATATAAAATAATGTTCTCTCAGGTCACAAAATTAAAATCTTATATATAGTTTGTTTTGTGCTAGATGAGTTGTTTATAATTCTCCTTTAAGGAATCCCTACTTTTGCATCATTGAGGCTCCTATAAATTACAGCCTTTTTTTTTTTTTTTTGGTTAAACAGGTGTTTGATGAAGTTAAGCCCACATATTCTAGCTTCAAGAGCAACTTTGTGAAGAGGCTGTCGGTGGAGGGTCCCATTGCCAGTAGCCCAATTACCACTAGATGGCGGCAAAGCCAAACCAGGGATCTGGCAGCCTGCTCCTTTGGGGAAGAGCTTTCAACCACTTACCTCCCAGAAGATTCTGGATCCGTGCTGAAGATAACGCCTGAGAAAGAGACTTTGATTCTAGGTGAGGTAATAGAAATTTCAGAGGCTATTTTAAAAATGTTAATGAAATAGATATTCCTGAGAGAATCTTTGTCTCGTAGAACTATCTAGTATGGCATTCATCAAGTGCTTTCCTTTTCTTCCTTTGAATGAGAAATTTTCAAGGTGGTGGGGGAGAGGAGTGGGAAATGAAACAAAACCAAAAGACAGTATGTAGTGTTTTAGATGCATTTTTGAGGTTTGTACTGGTATAGGATTTCTTTTCTAAAGATTATAATTATGTATATAAGATTTTTCAGTGGTCCCTTGGACCCTCTGAAGAACAAGTGATATGAATGGACATAAAAGATACTTAGTTTTAGAGGGTGACAGGACAGGGTTTTCTGTACAGTTAAAAGTCTGGTAAAGGGCTTTCTCAATCTTGAGAAGAGAACCAGTATGAATAATAATGATACAAATAACATTGACTGTTATTACTTTAATTTAGAAAGTATCTCACTGACATCATCTCAAACTATACTTACAGCATCTTTCTATAAAAGGGAGAGGGAGAGGCGAAGTGATTTGCTCATGATCGTAGAGTAGATGCCAATGATTAGGGAAGTAAGCACCCGACGGTGATTTCCTGGCAGGAGGAGCTTAGCCTGGGCAAACCAGACCCCTTTGCTCCATCATCTTAAACTAGGGAACTGTTTGTATCTATTCTTCAAATGTGCGAATTTGTTCTTTCCGAGCAGAGACAAAGCATTTCTGCTGCGGCTGTGGTGGGAGTCAGGTCTTTAATCTTGGCATTTCCTACAGAGGCCACTGAGGCAGTGCTCTCTTATGACCTTGGCATTCTGGATAAGGCCCTGTGCTGACTCTTCCTCTTTTCCCACCTCTGCCAGGATTTTGGAGAGATGAGGGGCTGTGGCTTCACATTCTATTGTGAAAGACATAATGGATTGATCACCAACCTAAGTGATTATCTTGTTTTGAAAAACAAAAGCTAAATGTCTTTCTTGCAGGATCCTACCAAGAACCACTGAAGACACCCATCAAAGGGACTTTCGAAACAAGTAACTCTTTCCATTTTTGCAAGGAAGCTCATGCGATGGATGGAGACTGGAATGAAACTGTTGCCTCAAAAGGCCGGGTAGGTAAAGGGAGAAAACTGACATCTCATATCCTGAGAAACTCAGACAAATGGGTCCCAAATGTGAGGAAGGAACTGGCTCAGCTGCTCTTACAAATCAGGAAGAAAATGATGGGTTCCTGACAAAAAAAATCAGTTATGGACATGAATAGCGGCACTTTGTTAAAAAAAAAATTAATACCCAACAAATATACAAATTTAGTTAGTATCAATCAAAAAAATGGAAATGAAACATAAAAAAGGTGAAGATTCAGATGACATGATACTATAGAGAAAACCCTGAAGACTCCATCAAAAGACTACCAGAACAAGACGGGATCAGGAGGGAGACAAACCATAAGAGACTCTTAACTTATGAAACAAACTGAGGATTGCTGGGGGGTGGGGGGGTAGGGATAGGGTGGTTAGGGTATGTACACTGGGGGGGGTATGTGCTATGGTGAGTGCTGTGAAATGTGTAAGCCCAATGATTCACAGACCTGTACCCCTGGGGCAAATAATACATTATATGTTCATTAAAAAAAAAGAAGATTAAAAAAAAAAAGACTACAGAACTGATAATAAATTAATTAAGTAAAGAAGCAGTATACAAAATAAGTATACAGATTTATCTGTTGCATTATATATAATGAAGCATGAGAAAGAGAAATTAAATAATCCCATTTATAGTTGCACCCCAAACAGTAAGATACCTAGGAATAAACTTAACCAAGGAGGTAAAAGGCCTGTACTTTGAAAAGTATAAAACACTGATGAAAGAATTTAAACACAAACAAATAAAAAGATATTTCATGCTGATGGGTTGAAAGAACAAATCTTGTCAAATGTCTGTACTACCCAAAGCAATTTCCAGATTTAATGCAACCCCTATCAAAAGATCAATAGCATTTTTCATAGAGCTAGAACAATCTTAAAATTTGTATGGAACTACAAAGGAGACAAGAATATGCAATGGGAAAAAGAAAACCCTTTCAACAAATGGTGTTGGGAAAACTGGACAGCTACATGCAGAAGAAGCAAACTGGACCACTTTCTAACACCATACACAGAAGAATCACAAAATGGGTTAAAGACCCATTAAATGTGATCTCTGAAACCATAAAATTCCTAGAAGAAAACATAGGCAGTAATCTCTTTGACATCAGCTGTAGAAACATTTTTTAAGATATAGTCCCTCCTCTGGCAAGGGAAACAAAAGCAATTTGGGACTATACCAAAATAAAAAGCTTTTGCACAGTGAAGAAAACCATAAAAAAATCCAAAGAAAATTCCAGAAAATTCACAGTGTTGAGCATTGTATAATGTATAGAATTGCTGAGTCATCCTATTGTACCTCTGAAACTCTTATAAAACTGTATGTTAATTATACTTGAATTAAAAAAAATAAAGATTTTTCTAAAGATGTAAAGATTAGAAATATAATGAAATTATACATATTATGGTATGCTCCCCCTCAGCCAAAATTTTTTTTATATAATCATTTCCAACTATTCAGTGACTTGATCTGCCCCCCACCCCCGGGTCTCTCAAGACAAGTTAAATTCTTCCTCTATAAGGTGGTCTTTTTTTTTCCTTAAAGACTTATTATTTCTTTATTTTAGAGAGAGAGAACATGCTAGTGGGATGAGGGGCAGAGGGAGAGGGAGAGATAGAATCCCAAGCAGACTCCCCACCAAATGCAGAGCCTGTGGAACTCGAGGCAGGACTCTAGGTGGGGATCCATCCCAGGACCCCAAGATCATGATCTGAAATGGAATCAAGAGTCAGATGCTTAATCAACTGAGCCACCCAGGCGTCCCTATAAGATGGTCTTTTAAATATTTCCCTTAAGTTATTGTTATTGTTGTTTTTTTGTGTCTTGACCAAGTTAATTTAGTTCCTTTAAGTATCTTATTTATTATTGTTTTAAGATCTTAGAGGAGTCTGATCTAAATCTTTGGCACATTAAATATCACTAGCATGTTTTCAGATTTATCAAACCCAATGAAGACCTTCTGAAGGAATCACGGTTTCATTTATAAAGCTTTAAGCTAGGAAAGTCATAAATTCTCATTTTGGGCAAAGTTACTCATTTAGTATGTGCTTCCGATGTTTGGCATATATATCTTGCTAGAGGAACAATATTGTGAATATGCCAATTGAAAACAAACATCTTAGGGCAGGTCTTTTGCCGAGTGCTTTCTTGTTGGTTAAGGGTTTGGAGGTGCAGATGGCCAGGAAGTTCTATGTCACTGGCGCAGGTTGACCTTACGCCCAGGCCAGGTTATTAGCACCATTGCTTTTCCACACTCTACGTCTTGCAGACTGCAGTTTTTACTGCTTTGCCCTCACAACTTCATTAGAGTCCCAGCATCACTGAAGAAGCTGGGAAGGTGATAATGGAAACCATTTCAATACTTCATATCAAGCATTTGTTATCATGACCAGTTAGAAGTCAGATGGCATCAGGAGTGGTGCAGATACACCGTGAGGTCTCTCACAATGACAGGAAATGTGTGTCTTCGAGTGGTCCTCAGAGGTCACATGGAGGGTATTTCTATGACAAGGGTCAACATAGCTCTGGAGATGTTCACAGTTATTATATACAGTCAGCTCTATGCCAAGCTGTTCCTTAAAGTAATAAGTAGATCTTACTGAGGGAAGAGCACCCTTGGATGCATGGGACAGAAGCGCCCTGTGCTGGGCAGTGCCTCAGTCAACTTTGTGCCAACTATGGGATTCTGAAGAGGGGACTCTCTGAAGAGTTACACTGATTTTAGGAATATTTTATATCAGCAGTTCTTAGTTGGGTATGATTTTGCTCCCCAGGGCTCCTCTGACAATGTCTGAAGACATTTTTGTTCATCACAACCTAGGGGGAAGGCCTCTAATAGACGGTCTGAGATATTGCTAAACGTCCTATAATGCACAGAACAGCTCCCACAATAACGAATTCTCTGCTGCCAAGTGCCAGTGGTGCTAAGAATGGGAAACCCTGCTTTATACTTGATTGTCCTAATTTGAATACTTAAAAATTCACTATTCACTGACTGGCAATGATGTAATATCTGGGAAGAAAACCAAAATCTCAAAACGATGCCAGTAAGAGAGACTGCTGTAAAAATTATGGTGATCCAATGGTTGTTTTACAGGAATAATCAGATAAATTATCATGAAGGAGAAAATAAGGAATTGTCTCTGCTTTAACTGTTCATTAAAATGTTTTTAGAAAATTCCATTAAGTATGTTTCTTTACACTTCCTACTAATTTTTTTTGTGCCCGAGTTTTCGCGTCTGAGAGACCACCCAGGAGCCAAGCACCGATGCAATCACACGAGGGTTTACTTGACAAGCTTAAGCTTGGGCCCAAGTATACCCAACGCAGTGGAGTAGGACTTGGACCCTGAACCGGATTACAGTCAGAGTTTTTAAAGGCAGAGTAGGGGTGGGCTCGGCGGTGGGTGAGAACAAAGGGGATATTCAGAAGGCTATCAGGGTAAAGAAGACTGTCAGGATATTGAAGGCCTGGTTACTATCAAGCCAAGGCTGTTTGTCCCCCTCTAATGAGGCACTAGCATGAAGACAGTTGGGAGTTTCCTGGTGGAATGTCACATTCCTCCTATCAAGCATCCTTGTTAGTGAGATTTAGCACTGGGACATTTATAAACCGAGGGAGACTCCTGTCTTGCAGGATTGTGATTTTTTACAAGTTAACTATTTGTTCACATATACTACCGAGCGGAGGGGAGCGGGTGGAGAGGGGGTGCAAGGTGCCAGCTTTTGCTTTGTCAAGATGGCTATACTTAAGTCAGGGCTAGACTCGAGGTGGGTACAGCCTTGTTTTTCTTGGCCTCCACAATTTTCTTTTCTTTTCTTTTTTAAAAAAGATTTTATTTATTTATTTGGCACAGAGAGACAGAGAGATAGAGAACACAAACGGGTGTGGGGTGGGTGGCAGGAGAGAGGGAAGCAGGCTTCCAGTGGAGCCAAGAGCCCGACGTGGGCCTCGATCCCAGGACTCTGGCATCATGACCTGAGCCGAAGGCAGATGCCTAACAACTGAGCCACCCACGCACCCACTACTAATTTTCTTATCTGTTTTTGATTGAAGTTGGGTGTAAGAATGTCAGAAATGCTTTTTATATACTGGCCCAAAGAGACAGCAATCAGATATTTGTATTCAGGGAAACTGAGACAAGTTACTTAAGATCTCCATGATTTGATGTTCTAATAGGTAAAGGTGTTAATGGAAAAGGACCTTTAAGATGATGAGTTCAATTCTGACATACTACAGATGAGGAAAATTAAGTCCCAGAGAAAATATAAGTAACAGAGTGAAAGAACACCTCTAGGTTGAATGCTGAGAGGCCCCCTTGAAAGAAACCTTCCTTAAAAATTAGCCTTACTAATGTTCAATTTTGTTGTCTTGGGGAGGTCTTTCAATTTCACCATGTACTAGAACTATCATAACATTTCAGTTCTTGCAGGCTTTGACCTTTAGCTGGTTTGTGGGCTAAAAGGATTTTTTGGTTAGAAGACTAAAAGAAGATTTTATTCTAGCTGAGGAATACTTGCCTATGGAGTTGCTGGGGAGATTAGAAACGATACACGCGAATGCTCAGCACTGTGTTCACTACATAGTGGTTAGGTAGTAAATAACAGCAATCGTAGCCTTGGGTGTGCTAATGTGGAAACCTTGAACTTCCTAGGAAATTATCAGTTTTAACACTCTATCATGCATAACATCTGAGATGTATGTGCCCATTTCTAGAGAAGTATTTCTTTGCTCGCTTTCAGAAATGCCTAAACCAGCTATTTTCGACCCAGAAGGTGGCTCAGTGGGTTAGTGGGCAAATGCAGCTCTGTGAGCAATCTCAGTGTGCCTGGAAAGGTATGGGCCAAAGATTTTCTGTTTGTCCTTCTTACCTTCCCTCCTACCCTTCTCTCTCCCTGCCTCCTTCATTTCTTCCTTACCTTAGAGTATGTTATTAGAATATGTTATGTTTATTAGACTAATCAATATAATTATAAAGTTTTGATAATTCTCCTAATTCTCTGCCTTGCCTGTCCCATCCCCAAGTCTCATTTCCTAGAGGCAATGACCTTTAGCTCTTCCAGCTCTTCCCCCTACTATTTACATCCATTTTTTTTAAAGATTTTATTTATTTATTTGAGAGAGAGAGAGAAAGAGAGAGAGCAAGCATGTGAGGGAGAGAGTCAGAGGGAGAAACAGACCTCCTGCTGAGCAGGGAACAGGACGCAGGACTCGATTCCGGGACTCCAGGATCATGACCTGAGCTGAAGGCAGTTGCTTGACCAACTGAGCCACCCAGGCGCCCTACATCTATTTTCTAAGTAGTCTTTGTAAACTGCTCTTTCTTGATATTTTAGACTTTATCGTAACTTTCTAGTATAGTGGGTAAGAACTTAGTTGTCCTGTTTCATTCACCTCCTTCAATCCACTTAGATCACATTTCCAAAAAGTAACCCCTCACATGGGTGAAAATCTGTATCTAACTTTGACTCCCCCAAAACTTAACTGCTCATAGCCTACTGTTGACTGGAGGTCTTAACAATAAGATAAACAGTTGATTAATACATATTTTGTATATCATATGCATTATATACTATATTATAAAAACAAGCTAAACTAGAAAAAATGTTATTAGGCAAATCATAAGGAAGAGAAGATACATTTACAGTGCTGTGCGGTATTTATTTAAAAAATCCACATGTAAGTGGACCCATGTGGTTCAAACCCATGCTATTCAAAGGCCATCAGCGTCAGCTTCAGGAGTAAAACAATGATTTGATATTTGTATATATTGCAAAATGATCACCACAGTAAGTCCAGTTAACATTCATCACCATTCATTGTTACAGAATTTCTTTTCTTGTGATGAGAACTTTTACGATCTACTCTTATTAATTTTCAAATATGCAATCCAGTATTACTAACTATAATTGCTATGTTTTACATTACATCTCCATTACTTAGTTTGTAACTCGAAGTTTGTACTTATTTTTTGAAAAACCTTTATTGGAGGTGCTTGAGAGTTTCTAGTAAATTTTAAGTTTTGCGCACAAATGCAGGTCTTTGTAGCTAACACCAAGGCAGTAACGATCTACTTCTTGGTATAGCGTTGTGAAGCTCTTAGGCCTTTTATCAGAAGGCATGTGGTTGTAAAGACCACAAATTACCTGGGTGGGCTCAGTGTTTATCAACGTATGTCATTCTCAGTTTGATCACAAGCCAAGTGGTGGGACAGATGAAACGATGGTGGCCTGTGGTTTAGACTTAGGTGGGTCTTTTGATGAGAACTAAAACTGAACCCAAGATAGGACCCTGACCTCAGATCATTATGTGTAAAACTAGCCAGAAGTACCTGTGTGCTCTGGTTCAGAAACAGTGAGACAAAGAGTCAAAATAAATGAATCAATAGATATTTACTGACAAAGACTCAGAGTAAGGCTTATGTCTCTCAGCTAATTGTTGATGTGCTAGACAAATGGATACGCAAAAATGACTGTGATTTTAAGATCTCAAGTGACAGAATAAACAAATATTCAGGAAAATATAGTGTTTCTGTGTGCTTCCCACAAGTTACGTTACATTTAGGTCTGGCACTCATGTGTTTTTTATTAAAAATTGCCATGAATTATTTTTAAAATTTCTGTTTAACACTGAAGAATTTTTTCCCTTCCCTTCTCCTGCAACTTGTAATTCAGTTTTATTATGATGACTACTTTCTTTTTCACTTTGTTATGTCTTAATACCTGCATAGATATTATGCTTATGGGATCATAAAGATACGTGGAATTGTTTGTTCTTTATAGGCTGCAGAGATGGAGTCAGAGATGAATCCTTCTATCTTAAAAGATTCAGGAATCTAGACTATTCCATACTCCAACCAGAAGTGAAGATTCATCTTACTGGTCTTCGAAATGACTATTGTAAGTTATTATTTAGACCATGAATTGAAAAGTTGGAGTGACAAAATATATCCTGTACTGTGGCATAAACTTGAAATTTGCTTCTGGAAGAATCCAATGACCCTTGTGCCTCATGTCCCAAGGCTGTACTACCCAAATATAGTTAATGTAATTTGGCTTTTCCTTGTACAAATTTCATGTGTGGAATGGGTATTTTTGGTGTTGGTGGGATATGAGAAATACACTTTTTTTTTTTTTCTGTATTAGAATGAACTGTGAGAATGGGAGCCTATTCTTAGGCATATATTTTAAACATGGATAAATCTAATCAGTCAAACAGCCACATTGGGTCTTCTTGTTATGTGCCTAATTTATAATCTAGTTGGGAGGACAGGACTTTTTAAAAAAATATTTTAATTATTTGAGAGAGAGAGTGAGTGAGAGAAACAACATGAGCAGGAGGAGGACCAGAGGGAGAGGTAGGAGAAGCAGACTCCCTTCTGAGCAGGGAACCCGGTGTGGGGCTGGATTCCAGGACCCTGAGATCATGACCCAAGCTGAAGGCAGACACTCAACCAACTGAGCCACCCAGGTGCCCTGGGAAGACAGGACTAACTCAATGGAACGTCTACCAACATGCTAGTATAGAATAGAAGTAATGAATTGTGGAGTAAAAGGAGCTATAATGATTATAAGTAGTTCAGTGATCTTTGCATCTTTGTCTGAAAAGACTTTGTGGAGATATTGAGCTTTGAGCTGGGTCTTGAAAAATGGGTAGGTTTTGGAGGGATGGGGGAGAGAAAATAGAGCATTTTCAGCAATGTTAACAATGTGAGCAAGGGCAGGATGTTGGTAATTAATGATAATGGCAATGAAGAGGATACAGTGGGGGACTGGCAAATAGGTAGGTAGATGCAAATTTTATAGTTACACAGGTCCCCGTAACCCCCTTAACTTTTTTTAGGTTATGGCAGTTGTCATATATTTTACATCTACATACATTGAAAACTCTACCATTGTTAAAAATTTTACTCCAAGAAGCCATACATATATGTATTTTAAATGAAAGAGGAAAAACTGTCTTCATATTTACCCAAATATATAGCAATTCCATGCTATTTCTTTCCATGAAAGAGAATTTCATTCCTGATGATCCAAATTTCCCTCTCATATAATTTTCTTCAGCCTGAAAGCTTCTGTTAGCATCTTTCAGATAAGGTCAGTTGGCAAAGACTTCTGGTACACTTTTTATATTCTGTTTTATGATATTTTTGGTGCCTGTAGAATTCTGGGTCGCTAGATTTTTTCTTTTAGCATTTTAAACATATTATAAGGACTTCTGGCCTCCATAGTTTCTGGTGAGAGTTCTAAGGTAATTTGAAGACTTATTCTTTTGCTTCCAAGACCTGAATCTAATTACACATATGAGATCTTTGGATATTATTCCAAAGGTCCCTGAAGTTTGCTCATTTCTTTTTCAAATTTTTTTCTACATGTTCTTCAGATAATTTCTGTTGATTTATATTCAAATTCAGTGACTCCTCTGTCATTTCCATTCTGCAACCGAGCCCATCCAGAAGATTTTTCAGATATTGTAATTTTCAGTTTCAAAATTTCCACTTTACTGTTTTTTTTTTTTTTTAAGATTTTATTTATTTATTTAACAGACAGAGATCACAAGTAGGCAGAGAGGCAGGCAGGGAGAGGGGGGAAGCAGGCTCCCTGCCCAGCAGAGAGTCCGATGTGGGGCTCAATCCCAGGATCCTGGGATCATGACCTGAGCTGAAGGCAGAGGCCCTAACCCACTGAGCCACCCAGGCGCCCCGTATGGCTTCTATTGCAGTTTTATTTTTATAGTTTCTATTATCTTTGTATATAGAACAGTTTCTATTTTTTTATTCCTCTGCTGATATTTTCTCTTTTCATTCAAGTATGTTTTTTCTTTACCTCATGGAGAATATTCTTTTCTATTCTGTGTGCATATTCTATTGGAACTGCTTTAGCATCTTTGTCTGATAATTCCTATACTTAATTCATCGTAGGGTTTTCATCTATTAATTATGTTTTCCTTGTGTCCAGTAATCTTGAATCGTGTTCTATACGTTGTAGATTTTATGTGGTATTAACTCAGGCTCCTGCAGAGAATGTTGCCGTTTTTGTCTTACCTTTAATTTTTTTATTTTTTAAAAAAGAGTTTATTTATTTGACAGAGAGAGGGAGAGAGAGAGTGTGTGCGCTCACAAGCAGGGGGAGGGGCAGAGGAAGAGGGAGAAGCAGGCTCCCCACTGAGCAGGGAGCCTGATGTGGGGCTCCATCCCAGGGCCCTGAGATCATGACCTGAGCTGAAGGCAGATATTTTATCAACTGAACCTCCCAGATACCCCTGTCTTAGTTACATTTATACCTTAAGTTTTGTCTTGCCTTTTGTGGGTGGTGTTTTGAGTCTCAGATCAGTTTCTTCTGCCTTGACTATGCTGGTTTGGGTCTTTCCCTCATATATACAGATCAGAGTCTAGGCTGAGTCCTAAATAGATGCTTCACTCAGTTCGGTTCTCAAAGCCTTTGCTAAGCTGATCTGAGTTTTCCCTAAAAACATGATTTCAGGGTTAGGCTGAGATGTGCGTGGGTTCCTACATTCACAACTAGAGTTGTGTAGCTCTCTTTCTGTGGCTCTCTCCCCTTCAGGACTTTCTCCACACATTTTGGCCACCTCAGGCTCCTTTTCTTGGCTCCTCTCACCAGAAAGATGGTGAGCTTTCTATCAGAGCTTTAGCTGCTGGTGCTGTTCTGTGACTGGGGCCCACCCTCTGGCAAAACCATGTGAGAAAAAAAGTGAGAAACTCACCCCTGGGCAGGTTGCTTCTTCTGGTTTTGACTCCCTTACTTAGTTAACTGCATTTGCTTATTTTCCAGTTCTGAGGAAGGGTTTTTTTTTTTTTTTTTTAATACTTTGTTCAGAGTTTATAGTTGTCATCAGTGGGAGAGGTGGTCATGGGTGGCTTAGGCCACTGTAGTGGAGCTGCTGTGCCTCATAGTTTTGTATTGAGATGTATCAATGAGGAGAAGAATTTTTGTCTTATAAGAAATAAGAAAGGGTTCTATGTCAACTATATCTCAATTCAAAAAAGAAATAAGATAGGATACATCTTAATATGTGGTCATACAAATATGGTTTCTTTTGGCAGTCAAAGAGTTCTAATAGTAGAAACTGGAGAGTAGAGCTAGGAATTTCTAGGTATCACTTATAAGCTAGTGATCACTTCTTCTAGATAGACTGTAGTTGGGTGGTATTTTTGGTTTAAAATGATAGTGGCATCTTTCATATGGATGAAGGATGTCTCTGTAAGGGTTAGGTGTTTTTCCCCTATGTTTATTGCAGTATTATTTATAATAACCAAATTATAGAAGCAGCCCAAGTGTCCATTGATAGATGAATGGATAAAGAAGATGTGGTATGGGGGTGCCTGGGAGGCTCAGTCATTAAACATCTGACTTTAGCTCAGGTCATGATCTAGGGGTCCTGGGATTGAGCCCCACATCAGGCTCCACATTCAGTGGGGAGTCTGCTTGTCCCTATCCCTCTACCCCTCCCCATGCCTGTGCTCTCTTTCTTAAATAAAAAATAAAATCTTAAAAAAAGATGTGTTATGTTTTAATACACATATGCTTGAATTTTATTCAGCCATAAAAACCCCCAAATCTCTCCATTTACAACAACATGTATGGATCTAAGTGAAATGCATCAGTCAGAGAAAGACAAATACCATACTATGAAGAGACAAACCAAAAAGCAGACTCTTCATTATGGAGAACAAACTGATCCTTGCCTGAGGGGAGATGAGTGGATGGGATGGGTGAAACAGGTGAAGGGGGGATTAAGAGTATACTTATCATTATTAGCACTGAGTGATGTGTAAAATTGTTGAATCACTATTTTGTATACCTGAAACTAATATAACACTGTATATTAAGTACACTGGAATTAAAATTAAAAAAAAAAAGGCCAGATAATTTCAATAAAAAATATGCTTTTAATTTTTAGTGATCTGTTAGATAAAATCCATGTGTACTAATAATGGTAGATGAAACTTCCAAGTTCTCGAAATGACTCTAAATAAATACATTTGATTATGAATAGTAAGATTATTATTCACTAGACTGTGACTCTTGATACAGAATTCTAGTTTTTATTTTTGAACTTCTAATGATCTGTTTACCTATGTGATTCTATTTCCCAGTTGATCATGGGAAAGGTATTAATTTTATTTATCTGTAAAAAAAGTTGGTTAGTTGAAAATATTTTTTATTTGGCTAAAATTATTACTCTAATATTAGTGAAATGCCTTTCTTATAGATCTAAATACTCTAGATTGGAATTTTCAAAATCTAGTTGCTATAGCCCTTGGATCCTCTGTATTCATCTGGAATGGGGAAAACTACAATGTGATTGAAAATATAGACCTACCTATCAATTGTAACTATATATCTTCTGTGTCCTGGGTAAAAGATGGAAACTGCCTGGCAGTTGGCACCAGCGAGGGAGAAGTACAGGTAATGGGCAGTTTTTTTTTTTTCCCTCAAAATGTGCTCTGTGTAATTGCTAGATAACTAAAACTGACCTTTAATAACAAATTAATATACAATAGAGACTCTATATTAGTTGTGGTGCTTGAAACTATGGGGAGTGAGAAGATATGGGATTCTGGTTCTTTTCTGAATGACATTTAATGAGGACTTAAGGATACTCAACCTAGCTTTTGTTTCTTTTTTTCTTCACACAATCTCCTTCTGCTGTATTGACCTTTTTTTTTTTTAAGATTTTTATTTATTTATTTGACAGACAGAGATCACAAGTAGGCAGAGAGGCAGACAGAGAGAGAGAGGGGGAAGCAGGCTCCCCGCTGAGCTTGATTCCAGGACCTTGAGATCATGACCAGAGCTGAAGGCAGAGGCTTTAACCCACTGAGCCACCCAGGCACTCCTGTATTTACCTTTTTAAAAGTATTTTTTCCCCCAAAGATTTTATTTTTTTTAAGTAATCTCTACACCCAATGTGGGGCTTAAACTCACAACTCTGAGATCAAGAGTGGCATGCTCCTCTGATCAAACCAGCCAGGTGCCCCTACAAGTCTTTTCTCTTGTATTAAAGTTGGGTTTGTAGAATCCCCAGGGTTAGGACTTCAGAGAGAGAAAGATAACCTTCAACTCTCCTTTTTCACCTCAAGCTATGATCAGGAGTAGAGTCACTTAAAATGAATGAATTTTTTTTTTTTTCTGATAGGCTCTCTGAAATGTGAATTTACCCAGTTTCCATCAATCTATTTAACTTCTCATGTATTATTATTACTAACAATACTGTAAACAATATGGCTCATGTGTTCAGTGTGCCTTTGGAGGGTCACAGATGGCTCTCACTGCTTTCTCATCTCTACAGTGATACTGGATGCTATGAAGGTTATATCACGATTTCTTCTCACACCAAAGTTCTCATTTTTCATACGGGTCAGAGTATCGTATATAGGTGGCAGGAAGGGAATCTCTTAGCCTTTCGGTGGATTTCCAGATATGAAACTAGAAATGTGAGAGCCATTCTCAAGCTGTGGCTGCCCATTGAATTCACCTGGGGAGCTTTAAAGCAATGTCGTAAAATAAACTCCGTATCCACAGACTCTACCTCCGTTATTAAATCAGAACGGCTAGCATGAATGGTGAGCCCCATCGGTGATGTCATATACAGACAGTGTTGAGAAATGCTGCCCAGGGTTAAAGGAGCTGAGCTTTCCCTTAGTACAAGGGCTGGCAGTAGTAACATTAATTGCTATCAGGCCTTTAAGAAGACAGTGGACTGTGAAAAAGACAATGCTATGTAACTCTGTTTATTTTTTGTTTTCAGTTATGGGATGTGGTAACTAAAAAGCAGCTGAGAAATATGCTTGGTCATTTGTCGGTGGTTGGGGCTCTGAGCTGGAATGACTGTATTCTCAGCAGGTAAGAAGCATCTTAATGGAATGAATTATATTTGTCTCACAGAGTGATTATGGGTGCTGAGTGAACAGAACTATAATATTTAAAACCAGAAGCAAAAGCAAAACCAACCGCAGCCAAACAGGATATTGGTTAGGCAGTTATGATCCTACCTTCTTGAATATCCTGCTCCTCTGGTGATGTAAGTGGTCCAGTGGCCACAGGCACCAGGTTGGCTATGCGCCTGCACCATGTGCTGGTACTGGAAAGTAAGGTTCAGGATCCACTAAATTGTTCAGACAAAAGGTAAAACTCTGTTTAAGCAAAAAGTTTCTCTGCACCAAGTAATACCTACCAGGAGGATAATTTTGTTGAAAACAAGTATTTAATGCTGTCAGGATCAATAATTTGGAATATGGTAAGCTTTCTGGGGCACATTTCCCATTCATAGATCCACAGATGTTAGAGCTGGATGGAACCTCATAGATCAGCCAGTTCCACAGTTCTCACACTTGAGCACCCATCAACATCCTCTGAAGGGCTCCTTACAACACAGATTGCTGGTCCGTCTCTAGGAACTTCTGATTCAGTAGGTCTGGAGGGGCTCTGATAATTTGCATTTCTAATTTCTGAAGTGATGCTCATGCTTCATCACTTTTGAGAACTACTGATTTAGTCTAACTAACCAGAAAGTTTAAATGACTTGTTCGTACGATCTTACATAATTGCTTTTAACAATTGCCATTCATTTTTTTTTAAAAGATTTATTTATTTATTTGACAGATAGAAATCACAAGGAGGCAGAGAGGCAGGCAGAGAGAGAGGAGGAAGCAGGCTCCCGCCGAGCAGAGAGCCCGATGCGGGGCTCGATGCGGGGCTCGATCCCAGGACCCTGGGATCACGACCCGAGCTGAAGACAGAGGCTTTAACCCACTGAGCCACCCAGGTGCCCCTGCCATTCATTTTTTAAAAAGATTTTACTTTTTATTTGAGAGAAAGAGAGCACAAGCAGGGGGAGCAGCAGAGGGAGAGGGAAAAGCAGACTCCCTGTTGAGCCAGGAGCCCCATGTGGGACTTGATCCCAAGACCCTGACATCATGACCTGAGCCAAAGGCAGAGGCTTAACCAACTGAGCCAACCAGGTGCCCACGGCCATTCATTTATTTTTTTTTTAAGAATTTATTTATTTGACAGAGAGTGAGAGAAGGAGAGAGAGCACAAGCAAGGGGAGCAGCAGAGGGAGAGGGGGAAGCAGGCTTCCTGCTCAGCAGGGAGCCTGATGCAGGACTCGATCCCAGGACCCTAAGATCATGACCTGAGCTGAAGGCAGAGGTTTAACCCACTGAGCCACCCAGATGCCCCACCACTGCCATTCATTTTTATACTGTAGTTCTTAAGGTAGGTTTAAATTAAATAAATTCCAAGGTCTTTTACAATTTCTTTAAGTACCTGAGATATAAACAAGATTTCACTATCTTGTGATTATAGGTCAAACTTAAAGCTGCTTAAACAAAATAGCACATAAAGGGCTATTTACTGTGCGAAGTTGTTATAGTGAGGTCAGTTCTCTATTTAAATTCCTTTTATAGTCTGTGTTGTTTAAATTTGGTTTTATTATCCATGAACAGATCCTTTCTTATAATAGCAGCTAATATTTTTGGAGTAATGTGTGCCAGGCTTGCTATACTCTTTATGTGTTTTAATCCCTGCAGTAATTCTGCGTCGAGTTGTTTCTAATCTCCAACCAACCTGTTGCTAATGAATCAACTGAGACACTAGCCTGAGGTCACATGGTTAGTAAAAGGGGCAGAGTCGGGCTTTGAGCCCAGGTGGTCTGGCCACAGATCCCATATTGTTCATCAGAAGGCTGTTCAGTGTGGTGCTTGAATCATTTTTAAAAAGACGACTCTGGGGGTGCCTGGGTGGCTCAGTGGGTTAAGCCTCTGCCTTCGGCTCAGGTTATGATCTCAGGGTCCTGGAATCGAGCCCCGCATCGGGCTCTCTGCTCAGCGGGGAGCCTGCTTTGCCCCCCATCCAACCCCCCAACCTTCCCCCCGCTCCGCCTCTCTGCCTACTTGTGACCTCTGTCAAATAAAGAAATAAAATCTTAAAAAAAAAAAAAAAAAGACGACACTGGGGCACCTGGGTGGCTCAGTGGGTTAAAGCCTCTGCCTTCGGCTCAGGTCATGGTCTCAGGGTCCTGGAATTGAGCCCCACACTGGGCTCTCTGCTCAGCAGGGAGCCTGCTTCACCGCCCCCCCCTCCGCCTGCCTCGCTGCCTACTTGTGCTCTCTCTGTCAAGTAAATAAAACTCTTTAAAATAAATAAATAAATAAATAAAAAGACAACACTGGATTTTGAGAAATTTCAGAAATAGTTGTAGGTAGTTGTTTACTTGTTCCTTGGAGAAAATTAAATTAGTCTGGGAGGAGTTCATTATCTTTGATAAAGTGATATGATCTTTATCATTCTTTGGATCCAAATCACTACAAGTAAGTAGAGATTATCTCCTGATTCCGAATCACATTGCAGTTTGCTGTGACAGTCAGAGAGTTTTATACTCTTTTTAGACATGAGTGGCACTAACAAAATTAATAGTGATTTGTAGCTTAACAGAAAAAGGAAATAATACATTTCTATCTCTGACATTTCACTATAAATATATATTGCATTGAGATAATATGAAATATTCTGAATTCCAGAAACATTTCGTATGTTCAGTACATAAAGAACTCCCTGGAGAAATATGGAAATCTTTAAAATTTATCATTTCCATAGCTGCCTGCATCATATTGAAGTCATTAGAAGTATCTGTCAAAATGGGGTGCCTGGGTGACTCAGTTGGTTAAGTGTCTGCCTCTGGCTCAGGTCATGATCCAGGAACCCTAGGATCGAGCCCCATATCAGGCTCCCGGCTCAGTGGGGAGCCTGCTTCTCCCTCTCCCTGGCCCCTGTCAACCCCATTCTCTTACTTGCTTGCATTCTCATTTTCTCTCAAATAAACAAACAAACAAACAAACAAATAAAATCTTAAAAAAAAAAGAAGTATCTCTCAAAGGATATCATCTCATTATCCACATTTGAAACTTTGCCACAGAAATTTTTTTCGCTTGTGCGAATAGTCACCTAGGCAGAATACTCTATCCTTATGAACCCAACGAATGTTCAAAAACTGTGTCTTGAATCTGTCCTGTGGGGTCTTTTGGTAGTTTGAACTATGCTTTCTTTCATGTTTTCAAATGCTTATTAGCAATAGGGCTTGAGTTTTCTGTCAGGAACCTGCCCCTTTACCTCTGTGCAGCGGGTCGAGGCTGGGCCGTGTTTATCATCACGACGTTCGGGTCACCCAGCATCACGTTGGAACACTTCACCACAAGCAAGCTGTCTGTGCTCTCAAGTGGTCCCCTGATGGCAGGCTGCTTTCCAGTGGCTGTAGTGATGGACTGCTGACGATATGGCCCCATGACCCGGGTGCAAAAGCCCAGGTTCAACCCCTGAAAGTCATAGCCCAACCTACAGCAGTCAAGGTAAGACATCCAATAGCTTTCCAGGTTGCTGTCTACTCAGAGATCACTGAGCATCCTTCACACCTGAGAACAAAGCCATTAAGCTAATGCTCTGAGATTTTTCTTCCCCTAGAATTTGTTTTGGATTTTGCCATCATTCTCTTGAAAGACAACCCTATTTATACCCTCCATGTGTCTGATTTTGTGGTTGTAAGTAACTGAAACCAGAGGTAAACGAGAGCTTCTGCAAACAAATGTAAATATATTTTCTCTTTCGACAGAGGAGTCCTGGGTACATACAGCTGCTTTCAATACCGTCCAGACCTAGGGCCTTAAATGATGTCATTAAAACTCTTTCTCTTTGGCTCTTGGCTCTGCCTGTCTCTGCTGAGTTTCATTCTTTATTCAGACATTTTGTGGGCAAGATGGCTCTTAGCAGCTTCAAATTCAGATCCTCCCAGATGGAACTGATTAAGAAACTACGGTTCCTTGTTACTCTGATAGAAAAGTCCCAGAACTCTGGTGTGACTTTGGGCACATTCTCCTCTCTCAGCAGTAACTGTGGTCAGACAGATGGGTACACTGGCTGTCCAGACCTACCTGAACTCACACCCCTGAAAGGACACCCACTGTGAAAAGGAGGAGGAGAAAGGATGCTTCAGAGTTAAACCAATATTCCATCAAGCTCTGCATAATATTTTTTTTAAATTTCTCTGTATTTTAAATTCTTATTTCTAGTAAAAAAAACCACCACCAACAACAACCTGTACTTTCATTCCTTTGGCATCACAGATATATGTATTGACCTCAACATTGTCCCAGAATATTTATCACTCACAGAACAAAGAAATGGTTCTACTTTATTACCTCTGAACAAATTTGTTAGAATGAGAACTTACCAAGTTAACACAGAGTTTCCTGATACAGGGTGTAATACGTCTTACCAGCTGCTAACGCATGGTAGTGGCTCAGTACTCTGGCTTATGGTTTTAATATCCACAGGACATTAAGAATGATTTAAGGTCCAAATTCCCATCTTTAATGATTTGAGAGAAATCTAGGGAAAATGTATGTAAAATACTCTGTCTGCGAACAAAATACAAAAACCAAATAAAGCAAACTAAAAAACAAAAAACAAAAAAAAAAAACACCAAAAACCCAACACGTGAAAAACCCAAGACAAGCAAAACAAGTTACTTTCTTATGTGCCTTGTCAGAAATACAGCAAATTGAACCAAGGGCCTCTGAAGTCTGAGCGAGCCAAGCCTTGGGCAGCTAATGGCAGGATGGACATGCAGATAAGAATACATGGATAAATACAATGGAAATATTTATTAGACTGTCCTTTAAAATTAGTGTTACTCATCATTTCAATTGTCAGCATAAATATGCAATACTGAACCTTATTTTTCAGGATTACCTGTAGTCATTTATAAGGAAGTAAATCAACAGCAATTTTCCTTTCTGAAATGTATTAGGAGTTGAAATGCATGAGAGTTTTGGGGGTGCAAGCAATCATGTGTGGCTCCATTTTGTCCTTTCTTCTCTGACCTAGAACCTAAAGACACAGGTAGACAAATGAGAGAAAAATTCATTTCATCATCAGATTTCAGGGGGCACATGTCACCTATTCTTACATGTCACAGCAGATTCTTACCCCATAGGACATGTTGAGTGTAGTTTTTAAAATATATTATTGGGTGATTTTTTTTTTGTTTAAAATATTGGCAAATTGTTCTCAAAATTTGAGGAAGGCACCTAATAGGTGATTTCTAGTCCCTTAGAAGTAATCTCTAGAGAGTGCCTTTGCTCCTGCCTTTAGATCAGAGCTCCAGGAGAGCCGTGGTATATGGTGTGAAGTGTGTCACCTTCACAAGTTCACTTCCTCCAAGCCTGAGCTGCCTGTGTGATTATTTGAACTTTCAAGGCCATGGATTGGTGTCCCTGGCAGTCTGCAGTCCTTGCTGTTGGAGGCGGCATGGAAGATGGACACTTACATGTCTTGGACATAAATACTGGGCAAAGCATCCAGACCCCAAGCACAGACTCACAGGTAAACATCTCTGCTGGAGTCTGCCTTCTCTTTGATCTTCTAGAACCTTGTGAAAACGATCGCTGTTAGAGCACAGGACCCAAACACATCTCTCTGTACTTGTGAGTCTATAAAGACTTCAGTTCTTGGCAGTTTGTTTTTGTAGAACGTTTCTCTGTGGGTTGCAAGTTGATTTGTGTATCTTTTCCTTCCCCCTCTATTCCCCACACTTTCCTTCTTTCTCAGCACTGCTTTGACTGTGCTCAAATTTGTAGGTTCATTGCACCCAAACCTATTTGTATGCTTAATCTTCTGTTGGCTTGGGATCAACTTTCCTAAAACTAAAATAGTTCCTCTCACACCTTAACCCCAGCTGTGGACTGGAGGAGGGATGTGGACAGAACATATCACCTGGTATCCATTTGAAATACATTCATAATGCATCAGACATTGCTATAACTCTGTATTTTTTTTTGGCCATTATTACAGATTTGTTCCCTAATTTGGCTACCTAAGACAAAGGAGGTTGCAAGTGGCCAAGGTAGTCCCAAGAATGATGTGACTGTGTGGGCCTGTCCTGGTCTGTCCAGGTCACGTGGATTTTTGGGTAAGCACACAGGTGACTAAAATGCATGTTCCCATTGCTAAGTGAGCTGTCACTGGCAGGAAAAGCCCTGAGTCAAAGATCTCCTCTGGCTTTTTAAAGTATTTATTTTATCAGGAAAAAAGACCTACATCCACCCCATCTCAGGGTGTCCGTAGATGAGTATTTCTGAATTTGACTCAGACTGTTCATCGCTTAGAATGGTCCTGTCTTCTCCTCTTGCTTACATGCATGGATGAAGAGTGATGATCAGGGAGAGTTTCCAAATGCTTTTTGAACTCTGGAATTAGCATCATAACTCATCTTTCCTTATTTTCAGGAGTGCTACAACGTGTGGGTTTATTCAATATACATTTACCGTGTGTGAGGCACTTTTGGAGGTGGGGGGGACATACATGTAAACAAGACAGACATCATCTTTGCCCTCAGGGAGCCCATACTTTAGTGGGAAGCAACAGACCGAAAACACCAAATGTCTATAGTGTTCCATAGTGATAATACCGTGACTCTCTTTGTAGATTGTGTGAATGTTATTTGGCAACAACAAAACACCCTTAACAGAAAGACTTCCTGCTCCTGTCTGGTCTTCCTGGTCTGTCTGACCTCAGAACGACTTTGATATCCTTAAGCTCTTAGACTGTGTAATTTGGTGAATAAAAATGTAGACAGCTCTTGACAGAGCTACCTGGGTGGCCATGCCTGAGTGTACGAAGGACATGAATTGATCCTTTATATTTTAAATCATAAGATATGTAATTCATGGGATATGTTTTCTGATTAGGGAAATTATTTTATTTTATTTTTTTAAAGATTCTATTTATTTGAGAGAGAGCATGAGCGGTGGGGAGGGGCAGAGGGAGAGGGAGAAGCAGACTTCCTGCTGAGCAGGGAGGCTGACATGGGACTTGATCCCAGGACCCTGAGATCATGACCTGAGCCAAAGGCAGATGCTCAACTGACTGAGCTCCCCCAGGCACCCTAGAGAAATATTTTTAATGAAGCCTTAAACCTGGTTCTTTACAAAACTACAATTCCAGTAGATAGTTAGATCTTTCAGTGAGGTAGGGACCTCTGATAGATCCTGGAGTCAATTTGTTGATACTGGCAATAAAGAATGAACTTAACTGGTACATTTTCTTTCTTTTTTAGCCTTGACGAGTTATGAATTCTTCAGTCATCGTCTTGTGCTTTTTTCATTGATATTAGACAGAATTCCAAAGAGTACATTTAACCTTTTCTTCCCTTAACATGTTTATGATTAAAGAAGATGCAGTTACTTTCCAGCTTTCAGACACTAATGCTCATCTCTGACCCAGTAGTCTCAACTACGGGCATATTTCCCAGTGTTTAGCAGGGTGGTTGTTACATAAACATACATCAGGTGGTTAGCATTAAAAAGGTGAAATAGAATAGCAGAGAATGGAAACAATGTAAAAGTAGGCATTATTTTGTGAAACTTTTGTTACAGTTGTTCAATACCATATGCGTGTTTAAATATGGGGTGGCAACATAAAATGTAGTTTTGAACAGTGGATTGTGGTCATAAAGCTTAGAAAAAAGCTATTCTAGATTATGGCCATGCCTTTCCTTCGTCTCACCCTGTTAACCACACTCATGATTCTCTGGTGGGAGAATTCTATTAAAGAGGTTTTCCCCATCTAACTGGAGAAAGAAGATAACTTAAGATCATTCTTCCCCTCACCTTCCAAAAGTTGTAATTTACAAGCTTTGAAGCAGCGATATGTAACTTTCTAGCCTGTAGGTGAGGTCTGGCCTTTGATTTGGTTTCATAGTCCTTAGCACATGCATTGATAGGTAGTCTCCTTTATAATGATTGCTGCATGAAGAACACAAAACTTTCAAACAAAATCCTTTCAGTGATAATACTCTTGGAATTTAGGGATGTGAATCCTAAAGGATGGCCTTTGTCTAAGGTAAAGACGGCATTTCCCACTAAATCTAGTAAATTTAGATTTTCACTAATAGGAGAGAAGTGTTTCAAGAATGCTTCTGCTTCTTGCTGGTGAAGATTCGGAGAAAGGGGAAAACTCCTACACTGTTGGTGGGGATGCGAGCTGGTGCAACCATGGAGGCTCCTCAAAAAGTTGAAAATAGAGCCATGACCCAGCAATTGCACTACTGGGTATTTACCTTAAAGATACAAATGTAGTGATCTGAAGGGGCATGTGCACCTGAATGTTTATAGCAGCAGTGTCCACAATAGCCAAACTATGGAAAGAGCCTAGATGTTCATCAACAGATGAATGGGTAAAGAAGATGTAGTATATATATATACTATGGAATACTATGCAGCCATCAAAAGAAATGAAATCTTGCCATTTGCGACGATGTGGATGGAACTAGAGGGTATTATGCTTAGCGAAATAAGTCAGAGAAAGACAATTATCATATGATCTCCCTGATATGAGGAAGTTGAGGGGCAACGGGGGGGGGGGGTATGTGGAGTAGGAAAGGAATAAATGAAACAAGATGGGATTGGGAGGGAGACAAACCATAAAAGACTCTTAATGTCACAAAACAAACTGAGGGTTGCCAGGGGGAGGAGGGTAAGGAGAGGGTGGTTGGGTTATGGACATTGGGAAAGGTATGTGCTATGGTGAGTGCTGTGAAGTGTGTAAACCTGTAATAAATAATGTGTAAATAAAAATAAATTAAAAAAAAAAAGAATGCTTCTGCTTCTAACCCAAACTCCATTTTCCTAACAAATTTTGGAGGCAGTTCTCCATTTTTTTAAAGTAAAGACATTTTTCAAAACCTGCTTTGGAAAAGATTCGGATTTTTTTTTCTTTATTACTTCTTTTCTACTTTTTTCCCTTTCTTTCTCTTCATTTCAACACATTGTAATAAAAAAATGAAGGCATATTTAATACCTACTGTGTTTATTGAATTGACTTTTCTTAAGTTTAATTTAAAAACATTCATGTAATATTCTATATTTATCCTAACTAAATTAAGTGGTTTTCATTTACATTGCTTTAATTTATAAATGTTTAATTAAAAAATAAGGAGCAGTGGTATTCCCTAGGAAAAGAGATTCTTCTTTGCTGTGGGATTGGAGAATGGGCTAACGGGTTAAAGCACTGAATTTGATTCTAGTTCTGGCTTTGCCATCAATTAGCTCTGTGACATGGGACAAGGCACGTGGGACAAGTTACTGAACTCTTTTTCATCTATAAAATAAGGGAGCTGCTTTGTATCTATGAATCTAGATTTTTTTTTTAATGCACTGACACACCCAGAGTCAAACCCATGTCTCTTTGGGGGCATGTGTGCCTGTCCCCGTGTGCATATGTGTGCGTGAGCATCCAGGCGACCATTGGGCATGATGTGTGTGGATGGAAAAATTCCCGTGTCTAAGAAATGTCTCCTTCAGGAGAGGAATATGTATACGTACTCTTTGCTCCTGAGAATCTGGTGTCAGAACACAAGATTATTTCTGAAATTCCAGATCTCATTTGAATTGAAAACTGTACTAGTTCTATGAGATGACTACCAACCTAGCTATATTTTATGTGTGTCCCCAAATACCTCCTCAGTCAAAAACTTACACAACCTCTTTCCTTCCCTCCATCCTCCTGGCCCCAGCCTTCTTTCATGGAGTCAGTTTTGTCTGCTTTGGCCTGAACGTTTGATTGTTAGCCGTCACTGTTGGGTTAGGATAGATTTTGCCAAGTATTTTCCAAGGAACGTGAGCCATGTGAGAAGTTCACGTCAAAAGGACATGACTAGGGCGCCTGGGTGGCTCCGTGGGTTAAAGCCTCTGCCTTTAGCTCGGGTCATGATTCCAGGGTCCTGGGATCGAGCCCCATATCGGGCTCTCTGCTCAGCGGGAAGTCGGCTTCCTCCTCTCTCTCTCTCTGCCTGCCTCTCTGCCTACTTGTGATTTCTGTCTGTCAAATAAATAAACAAAATCTTAAAAAAAAAAGGACATGACTTTGGTCAACTAAGTTTCATAAATGCTGCTTATTATAATCTCTTCTCCCAAATAAAGCAGTCTTGAAATAAGGAATCCTGTTTAATATTTTTTAACCTGGAGATCCCAAACTAATGTGAACATTAAACACTGTTTTCTTTTTTAATACCTATTAACCAACTTCATATGGAATTACTGTTCCACAAAATGTTCTTTGGGAGACGATCAGGTAGATAACAGAAAAAGGTGGATTGTCTCCAGAATTACATAACTAAGACTCATGTTTGCTTTGGGGTAGAGCTTTTTGGGTCCTTTCCTATTAATCTGCCTCAATTTATTTGATTATCTCCTTGAAACTTAGGTCCCAAGGGATGACTTTTTGGAGAGGATAAGGAGGATGGGATGGGTGGCTGGAGCATAGCAGTAGCAATTCCTGGCTGCTCGTGGAGTAGAGAAGATAGAGCTGATAACGGTTTGGGGCATGAGGGGCATGGTGGGCTAGAAATGATCCCGCCACTTGTCAAATCCCTGGAAGCTGTGATTGTGATTTTCTTTAGCAAAAAACTGATGTAATTAAGTCAAGGATTGTGAGATGAGATCATCCTGGATGGGCCCTAAATCCAATGACAAGTGTCCTTCGAAGAGACACACAGAAGAGAACAGGCACATGGAAAAAAGGGCCATGTGACACAGAGGCAGAGAATGGAGTGATGTGGCCGCAATTCAAAGATAGGAGGCAAGGGTTGGAAGCTCCCCTTCCAACCTCCAGAGGGAGCCAGTCCAGCTAACACCTTGATTCTGGACCTCTGGTCACCAAAGCTATGGGAAAAGAAATTTGTCTTGTTTCCAGCAGTGTGTGGTAATTTGTTTTGGCAGCCCTAGGAAACTAATAAAAGGGGGAAGAGCTCTGAAAGGGAAACCCAGTAAAGCAAAACCTCAGCCACCTGAGGTTGCTGCCTACAGTTCGCTCGGACTGGTGTTTACCATAGCAAAGGCACAGTGGGAGTGCCAGCTTCATATATGGCAGGTTTCAGAGAAGCCTTCATCCTGGGAGGGGATACGGGGCCCTCCACCTCAGCAACAGCCCTTGTAATGTGGGACATGAGCTGTCTTCCCTTCTTCCCGCAGGCCACAGAGGCAGAGTGCTGCACCTGGCTTTGAGTCCAGACCAGACCCGAGTATTTTCTGCTTCAGCAGATGGCACAGCCTGTGTATGGAGCTGCTGTCACTCAGCAACTCTACGAGCTCCAGCTTCCTCACTTCAAAGTGAGAATAAGGACAGTGGCTTTGTCTTCTCCACGGGGTTGTTGTGACTACCAAACTGGATGACGTGCTTTTCCTGAGGTGAATGTTCTCGTGACCTTTCTTCTCGTGCCTATTTGCTCTGCTTCCTCCTGTTCCATTCCCAGATACTATCTTTGCCTCTTCTCTATTTTCCCCTCCCTCATTCTCCTCTTCTTCTTCCTTCTTTTTCTTTTTTTCTATCTCTTCCTTGTTAGGGATGCATTTCCACTGTGATAGCAGAGATTTCTACAGCAGAGATTTCCAAACACCTTTTCCCCTCTTGACTTTTCTCCCAATCTCCAGCCTCATATTTCTTTCTGACTCTGGATATTTCCTTTCTGAGATCCTTTCCTGTTTTAGCTTAAACCAAATACATTAAAAACATCCCTTATTCACTTGAA